TTTTAAGTGCCTATTAGGTCCACTGCTTTTGCACTAATTTTAGAAGTGTAACACCAGAAGTTCACAAAAAAAAGTGACCACACCCCTGCCCCCAAATTGACTGAATGAATCCATTCACCACCTTAAGACATTCTGTCCCTCAAATACCACTGCATATTGGGCACAGTGTGAAACATCTACAAGACCCATTGAAGCAACTCACCAAGTCTTCTTCACCAGAAATCTTTCATACCAGTGACCTCCTGTACCTAAAAGAAAGGTGCATGGGAACACCCCGAGCTGCTGGCTCCCCCCCAGTCATTCACTGTTCAAAACAACTGTGCAAAAGCACCATTACTCCTTCATCGTCATTGGGCCAAAATCCTGCCATTCCCGTCCTAACAAACTGCTGCAGGACAGTGCTAAGGAGGCAACTCACTGCCACTTTCTCAATGGCAGTGAGCAGTTGGACAGCGAATACAGGCTTTGCCAGCAATGCCCATAAAGCATACACAAATCATAAATTTCTACAACATGTTTCAGAAGCAAGAATGGTTTGATGCAAGTACATCAATAGGCATGGTTTAAAAATCGTTCAAATCTTTTATCTAACTGTACAGTGTAACCAGGAAATAATTATTTTCATTTCGGTTTTAAAATCAGGCACTCACAGATAGGCATAGAATACAGCAACAGGAGTAGGCCATTTGACCCTTCAAACCGATTCTGAAATTCAATATGATCACGGTTCATCATCCAAATGTATACCCTTTCCCCAATTTCATCCAATATCCTTCGATTTAGTTAGTCCTGAAGAACTATATCAGCATCTTTCCTGAAAATCTTCAAGTATTTTGGGCACTTTTTGTCAGAGAATTCCACAGGCACATCATTCTCAGTGAAGAAATTCCTCATCATCTCAGTCCTAAAAGGCCTATCCCTTAACCTTAGACTAGGGTACAGAAAAGATTTACCAGGATGTTACCCGGAATGGAGGGCATTAGCTAGGAGGAGCGGTTGGAGAAACTTGGGTTGTTCTCACTGGAACGATGGAGGTTGAGGGGCGACCTGATGGAGGTCAACAAGATTATGAAGGGCATGGACAGAGTGGACAGGCAGAAGCTTTTTCCCCAGGGTGAAAGAGTCAGTTACCAGGGGCAACGTTTAAAAGGTGATGTACAAGGCAGGTTTTTTGTTTAAAAACAGAGGGTGGTGGGTGCCTGGAACTCGCTGCTGGGGGAGGTAGTGAAAGCAGATACTATAGCGACTTTTAAAGGGCATCTTGACAAATACATTAGAAGGATGGGAATAGAGGGATTATGGTCCCCAGAAGGGTAGAGGGTTTTAGTTGTGATGGGCAACATGTCGGTGCAGGCTTGGAGGGCCGAAGGGCCTGCTCCTCTACTGTAATTTTCTTCGTTCTTTGTTCTGGACTCCCCACAAACCGGGAACATCCTTTCTGCACCTACCCTGTCTAATCCGATCCAAATTTTTGTAGTTTTCTAGGAGATATCCCCCTCATTCTTCTAAACTCCAGTAAATATATTCCTAACTGAACCAGTCTCTCCCCATATTTGTCAGTTCCGCCATCCCAGGAATCGGTTTGGTAAACCTTCTTTGCGCTCCCTCAGTAGCCATGACATCCTTCATCAGGTAAGAAAACCACAGTCACACACAATTCTCCAGGTGTGATCTCACCAAGGCCCTGTATGATGGCAGCAAGACCTTCCTTCTCCTGTACTCAAGTCCTCTTGCTACAAGTGCCAACATACCATTTGGCTTCTTCACTGCCTGCTGAACCTGTATGTTTACTTTCAGCGACTGGTGTCTGAAGCCAGCCATGTCTCGTTGCACCTCCTCTTATCCTCAATCTGTCGCCATTCAGATAGTGATCTGCCTGTATGGTTTGTTACTAAAGTAGGCATCCTTACATTTATTCCCACCAATTGATACAATTGGAGATGGGCTAAATCAAACAGCACCAGATTGCTATTCAAATATAGAATAAAAAAGGATTAAAAACAAAAAACTGATTTTAAAACTGTATTCCAAAATACTGTCTAATTGTGGTGTTTCATGACTGAATCCAAGCTGCAGGAATACAATTAAAGTTGAGCTGAAATTGAAGCATAAAATAAAAAAAAAGTCAAAACTGCCACAATGCAATGAAATTTGCACTTGAAGCAGAAACCTAGCCATTTTCTTCCACACCCTTCAGAGTTCCCACCTGCCCTGTGTTAAGCTGCACACTTCATGGCAGCAACCAGATAAAATGTAAAAGAGCTCCAGGTGATGACAAACATCAGGCTATTTCTGCTTTTCTTTCCCCCTTCAGGGAAAATTCAAATCACCACAAACACTTGTACTTCTGCAAAATAAAACATCCGAAAGCCACACACATGGAAATGCC